ATGGGCTTTCGAATGGTGTATGAATTATTTGTGTTGTTATTACAAGTGTTGCTGTGACCCCCTAGGAAAAGGTTATGCCCCGCCCTGTATAGGTGTAGGAAGAGAGGTGGGTTTATTTTCTCACAGTTCCATCTGCTGAAATGCTCCTTGCAGTCATGTGAACAAATTCAGGCACTTGGCAACCACCTCACACTTACGGCCGGTTGCAGCATCCTGCAGTCACATGATCACCCTTACGGACAGCTTCATGCAAACAATATTAATGGAAAAGCCAGAAGAGAAGGTTGCAAATCAGTTGGATGAGTCTTCCCCCAGCTCGATTACACTGACCATGCACATTACACACTACACATCATCTGCTGTTGCATACGTGAACCCCTGCCATGTTTCCCTAGCTTCCCTGCATCCACACACTCATGCACTTCACACCCTCTTTCCTCAGCTTCCCTGTGATTGCACAGACACGCATTGTGACTTTTTCCCTGTTCTCCCTGCACTTGACATATGTAAGTACCTCGTGTTCTTTTTCCCCAGGCCTCCCTGTGCTCACAGCACATGATGTGTTCCAGACCTCCCAGGGCCTCCTTCTCCCATGATAGCCTCCCCTCCCATGGCAGCCCTGTGTTCCTGACTGGGGACACCCTCCATTTCCTGCTTAATGACCTATATCTCTTGGGACAACTTGGACTGCCTGGATTCTCTTTGCTAAGTGATACGGTCACTTGATGTTGCATTTTATGAGTGTATCACTTAGCAACGGTAATGGGGGCAATGGTCCCAATTGCCATTGTAATTTGAGGACTATCTGTTTCTCCATACTGAGGGGGAGGAGTATCCAGGATGGGTTGACTTTATCTTCTTGTTGATTGGACTGAGTCATCAGAGCTCTTGGTATAAGCCCCTGGTCCATCAGGCTCCACCCAGTTTTTAGACTCAGTCCACTCAACTGGACAGTTGACCATCCTGGATCTCCGACAGGTCGAAGATATTCAAGAAAGAAAAGGAAGGAAAATTCCAGTGTCTTCCTCCTACAGCATCCTAGGTGAGATGGCAACTTCCTGGACTGTAAGGATCGGCCAAAAGCCCCCCAGGGGGCGGCCTGCCACCCAGGCTTCTGAGTGAGACAAGCAACACTCAGAAAGGAATTTGCTGGGCGAGCAGGAGACAGAGGGCACAAGCCTCTGGAAGGCAAGCCCTGCTGCAAGGACGCCAGCGACACTGGAGACTTCCCCAAGCACCGCGGATCGAGAGAAGGAACAGGCGAGGGCGGCGCGGAGCCCCCCGCCCCCTGGAAGGGAGCCCTGCAAACGCTGCGGAGCGCCCGCCCCATTGGTTCATGACCTACCTCATTGGAGGGGGCTCCAGCAGCCTGGGAAGTGAAGAAAATGGCAGCGGAGGCATGCAGCAGCTCTTCAGAGCACAATCCGCCTGGCCAGAAGATTCAAAAGAGGTGCCTTGTCTCCTGGCACAGGAGCCATCTTGAAGCCAAAAGGGACAAAGTGTTCCAAGATGGCAGCGCCCAGAGGCAACAGGAGACTGGCAGGACACAGGTACTGGCAACAACAGCCTGCAGTCCCACCAGGTTAGTGACCACCCCACAGGCGGCCCAGAGGAGGGGGGGTGGGAGGAAAGGCAAGAGACAAAAAGAAGCACCTCTCCCCCAAGGCAGAGCTGGAAGCGGGGGGGGGGGTCACAAGCCCCACAAGCCTCCCAAGCCATCTAAACAGGAAAGGAGGAGGCATGAAAGACTAGAACAGATTTGCAAGAGGGCAATTGGCCTCAAATCCATCCCACACCAGGGAAAGAAAATAAAGGCCCCTGGAGGCCCTACAGCAGGTGGGACTACAGGGGAGACAACCATATTGCAGGCAAGAATCCCCATTGACACCCCTAGTCTTTGGGGTCTCTCTCAGGGTTGGCAATCCTCCTCCCCCATGCTGCCTCCCTGAGATCAGCCTCTACCCCCTTTCTGTGAACGAAGGAGGGGCTTGTTTTCTCAGATTTCTTTGGCCTGGGCTCAAGCCCTGCTTATCTGACCATTGCCTTGATAGCAGGTCTCTCTACTGGCCATTCTGTGCACTCTCTATAGACTTTTATATCATTGCAAGTGAAATGATGATATAAATATGAAGGGGCAGGAGTTGGATCGTAACATCAGCATGCATATTTCACTTTGAAGTCGTTGTGGTTAAGTGCCTATACTGTTGGGATGGTCTGAATTTTAAGAGAAAAAAAACATTAGGGTGTTTGTCAGCTTAATAGATTTATTTTAATTCTTACTTTTTAAAAAAATCCCAAAAAGAATATTACAGCTAGTCCTAGACTTGTAACCACAATTGAGTCTGGAATTCCTGTTGCTAAGCAAGACATTTGTTAAATGAGTTTTGCCCCATTTTACAACTTTTCTTGCCACAGTTGGTAAGTGAATCACCACAGTTGTTAATTTAGTAACATGGCTGTTAAGCAAATCTGCCTTCCCCATTGATTTTGAGCGTCAAGCAGTCCCAAAAGGTGATCATACAACCGTGGGACATTGCATAAATATGAGCCAGTTGCCATACTTCTAAATTTTGATCATGTGACCATGATGCTGCAGTGGTCACAAGTGTGAAAAACACATATCATAGTTCACTTTTTTCAGTGGTGCTGTAACGTCGTAACTTTGAACAGTCCCAAAACAAGTGACTGTAAGTCGAGGACTATCTGTATTTATCAGAAAGAAAGCTTAAATTATTTCACAGCATAGTTATATCATCATTCACTTTCTTCAATTAAAGCATAAGTATATCATTTTTCATTTCCAAGGTTTTTTTTCCCCCTAGCCA